CTTAATCTCCCGGTATTTGACCGGTATCAGTAACTGAACTGTGCAACTACCGGTAACTGGCCGGTTCTCTAGTGAACACATTCTGGGGGTCGCCTCCCACAGAACCCAGTCTTGACTGGACAAGCTTAATTCTGATGGATATTTACTAAGGCAACTTGGGGCCTCCACCAGTAATTTATAAATTATATACATACCTCGGACATGATAATAGCTATTATACTCAATGTAATACCCAGGCTGGGTCCCCACCTTTCTTCTTTGAAAATATTTTTCGTAAGTGTTGTTCTTTGGTAGCCGACTTCTCACGCTACAATATAACAAATATAACAAATATACTAAGTACTATACTCGATACTGGCTAGCTCATCTCGGAAAATATTAAAAATATACAATTAATATATATTAAAATGAAACTCAATCATTCATACTCACATATCTTTTAATACATGCTTTTCAAAATTTCACATTAATTAATATAATGAGGAAAACTCAAAACTAAAATCATATTAACAGACTTTATCTATAATTTTAGTAATTACTCAATTCACCTTATTTTAAGTTTAACTTTAACATATGTACTCTCAACATATATATAAAGTTACCATAAAAGTATCACCTTAAAATAATATTCATATATTGAGATATATTATTTCAAAATTGTAACTATAACAAACATTCAATTTACTGGCATACTTGCCTTTAAAAAATCTATATCTCATGCTACAAAAATCTAAAAAATCTAAAACTTTATATCTTAACTCTTAACTAAATCATGAAATATTCTGTAAAGTTCCTCATAAAAATAATAACCATAAAGTGAGATACAAATTTTCAAATAATGTTTGTCTTGTTGAAATTCAAGATTGACTCACTTATATTCATTATTTTCTATAGCATGTTACACAAGTCCAATAAATATGAGATTTAAACTGGAAGTTATTAACTTACATATGAATTGACCATAAAATTTTCAACTCAAAATAATATCAAAAAGTAAGGTAATTTAATACCACAAGTCATCATTACTACACAGATTTTTTCACTGGACAGCACCTTAATTAATGATATTTATAAAATTCATTTTAACTCTAAATAATCTTAACATTTACAGTATTATTCTCAACATAATAATGATCTCATATAAAAATTCTCATAATTTTTGGAATTCAATAGCTTGGTCAAAAAAAGCAAACATATGCTGCAACAACATGAACTTTAATTGAACTTACTTTATAATCTTATTTCATATACTTATATATATAAAAATTATAATTTCTTAACATGATAACATATTAAAAACACATATAAACACTTATAATTCTTAACTATAATTGATTAAAATTCTATAACATACCTCTTCCACTCTTGAGAAAACAAAGCAAATGCAACTTGATTTCCTCGAAATTGCTCGATTCTTCTCGTAAAAACTCGATTCTTACTATATCTTTCTCTTATAACATAAAAATATGAATTTCTAAGGTGTAATTCTACCATTGATGAATGCTCCTATTATAGGAAAATTTTTAGGGGACAAACTTCACCAAAATGAATTAAATATCATTTAAATACTATTTTCTTCAACAAATATACCAAATAATGTCTCACTCTTAATTTTTAATTTTGTTGATTAATATTATTATATTTTTTAGCTGAAAAAATACATAAAATATCATAAATATTAACCATCATTAATATAAAAATTAAGATGCTTCAAATAATTAAGATTCTACAAAATAAAAAATTCCACAATTTATTTTTTTTCTTTATTCTTGGCTTTTTCTTTAAAAATCAGAAAATAATTTTCAAAAATTATTTTGAACTTATATTAATATATCTCATAATATATAAATCATTTACAAATGTTTTAATGAGAAAAAATATGCTTAAAAATAACATAAACACTTTATTTTTCTAATAATAACATTAATTGTGAAAATTCACAATTAATTAAAATTGTGCTATTCTTAATATTCTAAAAATAAATCCATAATAAACTAAATCTTTATACTTAATAAAATTTAGAGAATAATAATATATTTTTCGGAATCAAAATCGGACTTAAATTCCATTTACGATTGAAAACCACAATTTTCAACTATGATATTCTACTATTAAAATAAATATACTTATTATCTAAACTACTAATTACTTTTACTGATTTACTTTTTAATTTTTTACTACGGTAAATAACTTTTTAATACAGTAAATAACTTTTTACTACGGTAAATAACTTTTTACTGCAGTAAATAACTTTTTACTGCAATAAATAACTTTTTACTGACTAACTTTTTACTGAATTACTAACTTACTAAAATATGGGGTATTACAATTTACCCTCCTAAAAATTATTTCCGTCCTCGGAAATACTGAAACTGAAATACATACTTACAGAGTATATATCAAAACTCAAAATCTAGAAAACGAGCTCTAATATCAGCTTCTCGCTCCCATGTGGCATTTGATTCTCCGTGACGATTCCATTTAATACGAACGAGGGGAATATCTCGCTTCCTCAGCCTATGAACCTTTCGGTCCAAAACTGCTACTGGTTGCTCCTCATAAGTTAAATCTTGCTGAATCTAAATCTTATTGTGCTGAAGCACATGATCTGGATCGCACACATATGCACGTAACATCGATACGTGAAATACATTATGCACACTGGATAACTCGGGAGGTAAAGCTAATCGATAGGATACTTCTCCTACTCGCTTAAGTACTTCGAACAGACCTATATAACGAGGATGCAACTTACCTTTCTTCCCAAAACGAACGACACCTCGCATTGGTCGAACCTTCAGAAA